AATATACCTTGTAGGTGTTTTAAAATGAAAAAAGGGAAGCACAACCTTCCTGTAATAAAACAGAGTGAGTAGAAAATTTAAAGGATGCATTGATATTCAGCTGCATCACAAGTTTGCTCATGGCTTAGAAAGGTATGCCAAAGGTGGAGGGACAAAGCAAATAAAACTGTCAGCAGATGTGGTAAAGGAATTATGTTGGAATTGCCAAGACAATGACAGTTCAAAGGTGTAGAGTCTCTGATAGTACAGAAGAGCTGCTTGCCTTGTGTTTCTGTAACAGTGCAGTCTTTGGAGAACCAGGAGAAGAGATGTTAGATACTTCAACAATTCTTCAAGACAAACTTGTTGGATGTTCACTGTCCTGTCTATGAGATAATGGGCTTTTAATGACTACCACTGATACTGAATTAGCTAAAATAAAATCTTTCTACTCTTAGCATACAATTAATATTAATACCTTGGTTCCAATAAGTTTTGTAGAGTAATGTGGACTGATGCGGGTTGAATGGGACTCTATTTATTTAAGGCAGGCTTTAGTACTATACTTTCAAAATTGGATGAATGAAAAGTTAATATTTACTACTGATGGTAGTGTAAAAAACAAAATAAAATAGACAAAGATGCAGTCTAATTCCTTCTTCCAGGAACCTCATATGAGTGTTGATAACAACTTGTCAACAACATTTTTGAAAAAATATTTTTTTCTGGGAAAGATGAGTCAAATCAAGGACAAAGTTTGTTTTTTCTTTCAAGACACTGTAGATGACTTTGATACTTAGAAATATTTCAGCAGGATCACACTCTTTTTTCCTGAACTTTCTCCTGGAACCTCTAATTGAAAATGCTGAAAAATTTCACTCTAGCTAAACAATTTTCAGTGCTGTCTAAAGGCTAAAGCTACTATATCTTCTTGTCCACCATCTGCCAGAGTTTTGTATAGATTATATCAACAAAATAAAATACCACTACAATTTAATTTTATTTGATGTCCAGTTGTTCAAAACCCTCCATCAAGTATTTCACGCACAAGTCCTGAGAACTGCTTTTCATCAATGCCTTATCTCTTCCAGCTTCTCCCCTCTGTTAGTATGACAGAGTTTTACTTTCATTTTGTCACATTTATCACCAACTCTGTTGCACATCATTTTCTAAAATAATATTTCTGCAGACCAAATCTAAGTTTCCCAGTTGTTTCAGGCCCTCTTCCTTTCTAGCAAATTCTAAATTTTGCCAGTATATGCTTCATTAACTAATTACCTGGAATGACTTCAGGCTCCTGAAAATTACTTGTCACTTTAAGAGAACTGTTTGCACAGAGGCTACAGCGCCATGCATTCACACAGTTCTTGACTTTTCCAGAGAAACACTCTCCTGGAAACGTTATCCTCCTGGGATGATGTCTTTGTTATATAATTACCAAAAATTTACCTCCTGCTTTTGCATTTTAGATGTGCAAGTCCTCAGACTTTGGGTTAATAGAGAGAGCAGTAGTGTAACCTAATGAGCCCTGTAACTCCTTAGCATCACTGTTCAAACATAACAAAGTCGTTTTTTCTATCCTTTCTTTACAGTTCTAGGATGATACCAGTTAGATTTTGTATAATTGGTAATATCTTTATAGAATTAAGTAAGAGCAAGTACTGCATGGTAGCCAAACAAAAAGAAATACATTGCTAGCTGCCCTCTTCTTCAGCCACAGAAGCAGGTGTTTGTCCCATAAAAAACAATTTAACAATGCTACTTCCTTTCCCAACCTTCATTCATTCATACCCTGCAAACCCAAACCCTAGCACACTGCATTTCAGTGACAGAAGTCTTTACTAATGCACTTGATTCAGTTTAGGTTGGCCTGGTCCTGAGGACCATGGTAGATTATAGCCTCCGTTGCTTTCAGCTATTCATGTAGAATAAAAGATTCACTTTTTGCACCAATGAGCTGCACCCTCATATACTACCTAGGCTAGTGACTGACTATCCTTTATTCAACAATAAAACTTATCCACTAGGAATTCCCTACATAACACTGTACTTCTCAGCCACTGGTAATAAAAATATCTGGTAGTAATTTATAATAGTCACCAACACCACCTCATAGTCAAAGAAGAAAAACTTCTGGTTTAATGGGAGGCTAAATATCATGTTGGGTTGCAGTTAATCCCTTATAGGCCCTAAAGGGAAATGTCTTGTACTTCATAACTGCTACATATTTCAGTGCAGTTCTTACAAGTTGCATAATATGTCTAACAATATAACACATAGCACAAGTTTGTATGAGTAACCACACATTCATTGAGAATAAAGCCTTCACATTTCAAGACCATACTTTACTGCTCCGTTTGTGCAGTGATAACCATGTAATGGAATGCAACTTCTCAGATTTTTTATCTCATATAGCGTGTTGAAAATACACACAGTTTTTTCTAATCTTCAAAAGCAGACTAGTATCAGCAACAGGCATTTAGACCATTTAGTTATATTTATGTTACTGAATGACTTTTTTTTTTTTTAATTGCTTTAAAGATAACGCACATTTGTTAGTCAGGTGACAGGTGGCCAAGAATCAAAAGCTCAGGTGGACTTCAGGTGTACTATTTCTAGAACAGGACAGGGACAATTATTACAATTAATCAGCAGAAGTCCGAAAATTAGTGTGCCAGGGAACTGTATATTTTAGGCTCATTGCGTATATAACACTACATACCTAAACTGTAATAGTATAAATACTACACTGTGGTAACCACTGATTGTTTTAAAGAGTGATTTCTATAGAAATGTCTTTTTCGCCTTATGCACTATGCACACAGTACCATGAGCATTCTGAGTGTTAAGCACTGTGCTATTCAGCAGGTCCTCTTCATAAAATTAATTGAAAAAAGATATTTTCTTTTGATTTCATTCAAGCTGATTTAATTTAACATACTAGTGAAAACATTATACTATTTTAAATTTACGTGGTATAACATAAACTCACATCTCCATTAAGTTCTGTATATTTTAAGACACTTTTAATTTACGGCTATGACCTTGACTTACAAAACTGAAGTTACAGTTTTGAATGCTAACGCTATCTTTGGGCATTTAAAATGTAAAAATGACAAAAACTAATTACATTTGAATATGCTGCTATTATTTATACTATATTGAATTATAGAAGAATTAGTGGGCAGAGTAGAAAATCAAAATTAAAAGTATGCATTAGAGATTAATGGACCTGATTTTTTGAAACACATTTTGACACAGCAGTTGTTTGTCGCCAGTTCAATGAGTTTTACTCAGGGAATATCACTTCTGGCCATAATCTACATGCTTCAAGTGGTAATCTGCTTTACATACAACTGCTTTTTGTCTGAATTCATGCAAAGTTTGATAAGATATATATTATTGATTTTTCACAGTTTATGGCATTTAATAATGAATTTTAACTGTGTTTATGGAGTATCATGCAATCAATAAGAAAAGCAAGTGTTTTCTTGTACATTTGATATATGCTTGTAGTGGCCTGAGCAATGTCTGATCTTAATTAATTATTTTAAAGGATATGGTAGTCTCATTTTTATCATCCAGCCTCAAAAAAAGGGCTAAGTAAATCAACAGTCAGCTTGAGTTCCTGTGAATACCCTGTATAAAGGTTCTCCCCAAAAGAAACATCAAGAATTTAGAAGGAAGAAGTGCTGAAAACATTTTTACATTTATAAACACTAATTCTTAGCTCCTAGGTTCATTCAACATAGATCAGAAAATATGAAGTGTATCTCAGTCTTCAGGTTAGCAGATCAGGTCACTGAATGCCATTTATTGGTGTATTTAAAGAGTAACAGTCACTGAATATAATGGGTAAGGTTTATGCCCACACAGCAGACAGGTTGCTTTTTTGCTCAAACTCAAAATGTCAGTAATTTTGGGTAGACAGCTACTCCTAGAAGGTTCTGAACAATATACTTTAAACAGTAATTTGTTACTGAAATGTTAAAAGAATTTCTGTTTCTCAACATGTTATTTTCAACAGCTTTTTGCTATTGGACTGAAGCAGAAAAGAAATACTTCAAATAAACTGAAAGCTATATGAATTAGATGAGAAAAAATCTTCTTTTACCTTCTGGTTTCTTCTAGGATGTGTGGCTCAAACTTGAATAAAAATTATGAAGCCTTTTTTCTTTTCAAGTTGTAATAAGCATATAAAATTTATTTAGAAAGAAAATTAGAATGAAATGCCTGGGAAAGTTAACAGATCACATATTCAGAAGAAATGGGGTATTTTCCCCAATGATATCCCATGCAAATTTTTATCTGAGAGAGGGAAATAGAAGGAAAAAGTACTTGTCCTAGCAAAGTCTGGACCTTGATTAGTATGTCTTTTGCTGTTATATCTAATCTTGTACACATGCATGAGGCATGGAAAAGTGCAGGAGACTTAATATTAAAACTGAGTGTTTCTTAATATCATTATATGTCACAGTCAGTTAATTTGAGATTATAATCAATTGCTTTCCCATGTGTTGTTTCAGTTTAAGAGAAAAGCAGTTTTTCAATCAACTAATACTACTGCAGAATTTTTAATTCATTGCTGTCTTTGAACAATTTGCACTTAAACATTCAAATTGACATCAATCCATAAACATAGCTTAGAAAATCCACATTTCACCTCAAGGAAAAGGATCTGAGTGTGAATGGCCTATTTTATCCTTCGTGGGCTGGGGAGAGAAAGATGCTCCCAAGCACCCAAGAGATGTGGATATTTAGCTAATTTAAATGCTTTTGTTGAATCCTTTAATGACCATCTAATTATTAAGATTTAAAACAGTTTAATAGGACAATAATTTTGTCCCAATTCAGTATGGTATAGAATGGCAGATAAAAATATGTTATTACGAGGTACAAGCAGACCTTCTGTTCTACATCTTTTTAATAGCATTTACTTAAAATATTGTAATTTGTTATGTTACTGCTTTTCAAAGTTTGCAGCTGACTTAAAGTTTATTTGGGTTTTTTCTTTGTTTTAGTTGGATACACAATGAATGATCTCATTTTTGAGTGGCAAGAAAAGGGAGCGGTTCAAGTAGCAGAAGGTCTCACTCTGCCACAGTTTCTGTTGAAAGAAGAAAAGGATTTATGTTACTGCACCAAGCATTATAATACAGGTAGGAAAGTGATTACAACTGAAAAGACATTTAACATTTATTGTTATAAGAAATGTCACAGTTGGGGTATTTTTTAAAGTTCTCACTGAATTCAGAAGAGGGTTAGAACATGCAGGTGCATTGTACAAGGTAATGTAGTCTTAAATAACTGGAAAACAAACCAAAACTCCCTGAACCCTGAACAAACTCCAATTTTAGTTACCTTAAGAAAATATAGAGTTGAAATAATTCAGAAACTGTTCAGTCAGGGGTTTTACTCAGTAGGTGCCGTGACCATATTTACAATGTGAGATCTGAAGCACTACTGAAATCCAGAGGTCTGCATGTTGGGCACTAATCATAGCCTGGCTCCGGCAGGAAAAAAGGGACATAGGGTTGCCAAGTTATCCCTGCCCTAGTTCATACAGCAAGGGGACAATGTGAATGAGCTGAAAGGAGTCTTAGGTGTGGCCAGGTGGACAAACTAGACATGAGCATGCAATGACAGGACAAGGGTGAATGGATTCAAACTGAAAGAGAGGAAGCATAGATATCAGGAAGAAATTCTATTTTGTGAGAGTGGTGATGCACTGGAACAGGCTGCCCAGAGAAGTTGTGGATACCCCATCCCTGGAAGTGTTCAAGGCTAGATTGGATGGGGCTTTGAGCAGCACGGTCTAGTGGAAGGTGTCCCTGCCCATGGCAAGGGGTTGGAATTGGTGATCTTTAGGGTCTCTCAACTCAAAACATTCTATAATTCTCTAATTCTGTGATTCTGTGATACTGAATTGAAGCCTTTGTTGAACTGAGATATTCAGCTCATCTCTGGGATTACTTGAAGAAGAAGGGGATTAACATTAACAATATAGTTATTATATTTTTACTTTTAATTATGAAAAACTATATTAATAACTGAACAATCAAAAGCACATTAATCCTGAAAAACAAAGGCTATAAATGCATTGTTTATATATTCTTTTGAGAAAAAAAAAAAAGCTAAAACTCTTCCATTCTAACCCAGATATCTTTTAATTTTTGCTCTCCAGTATGATCAAACATGTCTTAAAATTTAAGATTAGAATGATTCATTTGGATTCTGCTGAAATGTCAGGGAGAGAAAATTAAATAGGTGATGTTCCTAAGAAATGTCTTGCTACAATCAAAATTAAAGAGGGGTGCTTTCCACCACTGAGTTTTATCACAGCTACAGTGGTGCCCTAAGAGAAAGGAAGGTTCACTCATAATTTCCATATAGAGTAGGAAGATACTGATAGAGATATTTTGAAGTTTTTTCTAAAATAAATTGGAAATACTTAACATGCACTTTTATTGTACAAATACTAATATCTGGATAATCCTTTAAAACCTTCTAAAATTTGTGATACATATCCTATAGCAAAGTAAGTTTTTCACTTGGACATTTCTTTGTTAATTGTAAGATAGTAATTCCTATTACTCCTTTTTTTCCTTTCTACCATAATCCTTGCGACAAATAAGAAAAATTTATTTTCTTTATTTTCTACTGTCTCCTTTGAGATATACAAGCAACTTACCCTTTCCTTTTAGGATTCTCCTGGTTTTGTGCCATTTTAATGAGTGTATGTAATTGTATTCTATACCCTGTATATGATATTAACTAATGAGAAATCATGGTATAGAATATTCTCTTTTTTCTAAAGTTCATTTGCATAACATGATGCATCAAAAATCTCTGAGAAATGAAGACATTACTGTGATGCTTAGCCTGATACTGAATGGAAAACTGGTTTAAAATTTCAGAATTTCCAGTAATTTCCAAACACTGTCCAAAGATGAGTTGTATTCTTACTCATCTCTCTAAGAACTTACATTATAATCATCAGAGTTGAAACCTTGTGATTTGGAGTAAAACTTCATTTTATCAGTATTTTGAAGCACTTCATTTTTTTTTTCACAACCTATTTTTCAAGCCTATTTAACTTGGTATTAATTTTTATCTAAGGAAAAATAGGAAAATATGCTATGGCTAGGCATACTGTCCTAGGTTATGTGGGGTCAACTTATATGTACTGTTCTTTCACTGTGGCCCTGACCTGAGAGGAGAAGCAGGAGCTACAGATGTTATTAACTGCATGTGGGACCTCATGGTTCTCAAGACGTGGCTACAAGAGCACTTGTCTCTGTGCAATTCTGTCACATTTAGGTGAGAGGAGGGATTTACTGCAATAAGTTTAGAGACAGTGTGGCAAATCAACAGCCTGTTGTATTCTGTATTGCTTTGGCCAAAGTGCATTTCTCTGGCCAAACATGCTCTAAGATGTGATTACAACCCATAACCCTGGAAAGATGAAGCTCATACCTGTACTTAAAAAGTAATTGTACCATTTAACTTGGCCATCAAAAAATCAAGGCATTTGATAACACAGAAACCTTGGAAGCCTGGATGCTTCCAAGGATGGGAATGTTTAAAAAAAAAGATGTCAGCAAAAGGTAAAGCAATTGCACAGCTGTGGGGGGAAAAATGTGATGCTGATGCTGAGTAGCGGTGGAAGGGTATGTCCTCACCAGAGGAAGCAGCTGAGCGACCTGCTCTGAATTACAGGACCGAAATTACAGGTACAGAACTTTGTCAGGGCAAATCAGAAAGAAAAGGTGGTTTTACCCATGAAGGACTACATTTATTGTGTTAGTCTCCTATCTGAGGTAACAGTATTTTGTCCAAAGCATTTTTTAAAATTCAAATCTTCAGTATGAAGCAAATTTGATTAGAAGGGTTTGGTTTCTAGGAGAGTAAGTATTCCTTTTATTTCTTTGTTACAACTAATATTATTAACTACCATTTGTAGGCTAAAACCCTATAAACATTATATTTACGACAACAGCTATTTTCACTATGTCATTTGGATACATGATCAGTAATGTGCTTTCTTAAGTCTTCTGCAATGAGATACTGCAGGCAGATATGCCTTTAGGATACTCCACAAGAACTAAAATTTACAAAAAGCAATTTTTAAAATATGATATGAAGTCTGGTCTATGACAGACTAGATAAAATGAATTCTTAAAATAATGCTAAGCAACTGCATCTGGTATGCAGTAAGTGACCAAAGAATTTTCAAATTAAATTTGGTTACAACACAGGATGGAAAGCTCTTCTGAGACATCCTGTAAAACAGAAAAAAATCCCACAATTCTCCCTGTGAAGCAAATTAACATGAAGCTTCAGGACAGTATGTGGAGACTCATCAGTGCATGTCTCATCAGTGTTTCATTCCCAAATGAAAATGGTTCACTGTACCAGAGCTCAAAAAATAAACTACGTCTAAATATAGAGACGTAACAGTTTCAGCAACAGTACAGAAAAATGGCTCATCAGATCTTGTGTTCTGAAGTGACACAACAACATTTCTGATAATTTTCATGTTTTGCATCCACAGGCATATTCGCAGTGACCAATTTGGAAAGCAAGGTGGAATCATAACTATTAGAAAAATCACACATGAACCATTAACAGTACAAGGATGGTCTTGCTTTGCCACATTCCTATGTGACATTAATTGCTTCCCTGTTATGCAATACCTAACTTTTATTTCAATCACAGCTGCAAAAAGTCCAATATACAGTAGCATGAATTTATACATAATAGCATTGGCTAACAGGAGCAAATGAGTCTTGGCTTTATTCCTGCATCATGGATAATGCTTTACACCCACACTTGAGTGATGCTGCTCGGAATTATCTTAGGTCTAATAATGCCTTTTGGATCAAAGAATTTGATGTTGTGGTCCTGAATATAGTGAAGCTATGATTGCTGCACTCACCACCGGAGCTGATAGATTCTGTGACCATTTCTGATAATTGTGATCTTGATGAGCAGCATGTTTCCTTAGCTCCATAGTCCCCCATCTGACTTCCTAATATGCACATTCCAAACACAATTTTTTCTCATGATCCCATTTGTTTCCCCATAGTCAAAAAGGTTGCTTAACAACCTTCTAAGTCTCACCTTCAACCGACCTAGTGCCTTATATTCAGCCATTTTGCTGCCAGTTTGATGACAGTGATTAAAGGAGACATAACTTTGATGTCGTATTCTGACAACAACTCAAACACCTACTTGTGTTGACAAACACCTAAACCACTGTTTTTGAGACTATAGGAGTGATTTTTAAGACATGGCTTTTTAACTCCCTCAAGTTTTTTTCATAGACCATTTCTGCAAAAAGAAGGTTTGTACTTTTTACCCAGGAGATAGTCTATGGGTGTGAAATATCTGAAGCTGCTCATTCCTTCACTCAAAAAGCAGAAGTTATAAACACTTTGGAAAACAGAGTCTGTGGCAGGCTGAGGATGTGATGATCCCTAGATGCACAAAATGGCACTGTCTGATTTCAACAAGGCATTTTTCTCAAGGGTAGAGAGGCCACAATTGTCAACCCTGCACTGATCAAAATTTGAGCATTCTACTTTAAAGATTCATTGATGAAAAATTCATCATCTGTCCTGGAAGTGGAAACATTACATCTAGATGTCTCTTTAGTTTATACTTCTCCCCTCTCTGCCCCTGCTAACACAGTGCAGCACATGACAAGTCTTTCACATCATAAGACTTCTGCTCAACTTGATATCTCTCAGGCTCCCAAGCCTAGGAGACCTGCTACATACCCAGTCCATCTCCAGCCTGTACCCGAGCAGGGAGCTACTCCATTCCCATCACAGACCTGTGCATTTGTCTTTCCCATGATGTTGTGCTGGGTTCTCCAGCCTACAAAGGTCCTGCTCAATGCAGCTCGGGTCTCCATTCTGAGGGACATGAGAACTGCAAATGCAAATTTATCAAGCTGAAAAAGAAACAGTTTCCCTTTTCAGTATTTATTTTCAACTGTCTTTTACTGCAGTCATTATCAGTCTCACGCCAATGTCAAGTTTACCACCTGCCTCAGTATTTTTTTTCAACAAAAAGCTGTGTAAAGACACTTCCTTCCTGTGCAGGAATCTATGTAGTCAAAGACAGGTGACAGCCTCAGCACTGATTTTCCCCG